TGTCGTGTAATTAAACGCGGCGCCGTATAATCGCTAAAACAGATTTCTTGCCTGTCGTTGCTTGTCAGTGGGTGATCCAGAGACAGGGAATAACGTCGACCAATCCAGCGGTAGATGTTTGGATCGATGATTCGGAGAGATGGCGTCTTTTTATTTCTTCTCTATACATATACCTACTTCTCTTCTGCACCAAGTGACGAATCCTCTTCTTACTTTATATAACGTTTCTCTCACGATCTTATCGCTTATTCAGGTCATCGAAAATGGAATGTACAAGGGGTTCCAAGATAAAATTGTCATATTTTAGTAACGTGTTATTTAGATGATTTTAAACGGAAAGAGGGTCACACGCGCGAGAATAGTTTCTATTCTAAACGTGTGAACCGTCGCGACTATAAACGGCTTCTATTGCCTATACTGCTCCGGTAACATTGTGGCATTTCTGTCCTTATGACGTGTAATCATTTGAAATATGTAACTTTGAGTGTGCGATCGCGCGCGCACACGCTCGCTGCTAGCGTCGTGTAGGTGATGTCACATCGTGTAGCTGTGGTAACCAAGCCGTGGACGAACGACACGGAATTCGGTAGGGAATCGTCCGTGTGTGTATGAAGCAGGATAGTATAGGGTGTGTAAGAAAGGTCGGACCATTACATAGTGCAGACGTTTCTGGTTGCGATTCGTGCATCCATCCGAACAGCATTACTCACAAAGACAAAGTCTCGTGGCGTTCTGGTAGCAGTCAGAGTATGTAGACACGAGTTTACAAAAAATGACGAATTATCGATCGAATACGTGTGTATGTGTGTGTATATACGTGTGTTATCTTTTATTTATTCCCAAGAATACGTCGAGATGGGAATTTCACTCGTATCCTGCGACTCGCAAATTTGTTGGCGCGCCATAGTCCAAAAATTTATCCAAGACGTAGCGTGCGAGCAAATAGATAAAGGAAGTGCAAAGCGCATTGCTTGTCATTTCACTTGTTACATTTGAACGTCACGTCATTAAGAATATTGAGGAACGTTAGTATGATTTATATTTCTATATTCGTAATTCACTTTAAACAAGCTGTCGGATTTCGAAGGAAGAAATACACCGTAGCGCGCCGTAATTCGCACGTTTCCTTTTTAAAGTCTCGACACGATGCTTAATTTTGTACGTTCCGAAAAGAAATCTTGCTATATATTCATCGATATACATTTTACAAAAATTTTCACAGGATGCTGTCTTTGAAATCAATTACGCGCGCGATCGCATTGATAATTCGTAAGCTCGCTCAGACTTGTTGGAGCTCTCTCTCTCTCTCTCTCTCTCTCTCTCTCTCTCGTATGAGTTCACTTTTGAAAAGATCCTTGAGATTCCGCCAAATCTGCAAGCGGTGTTCATTAAAATCAATTACGCGCGGTTGTAAATCTTGGCCGATCGTGTCTTCGAGGCATGGCCGCGAGTCCGCGAGATGTTCTGCATTTAACGCAACTCCCGTACTCGGCGAGGATTTATTACGTCACGTAAGATCAAGGATTACCAGTTCCGAAACGTTCGCACGCGCGCATGTTCTCCACCTTCGTTTCGTTCCTCCCTTCCCTTGCCTGCCCCGCATCCCTCTCTCTCACACACACACACACACACACACACACACACACACACACACACACACACACACACACACACACTCTCTCTCTCTCTCTTTTTCTGTCTCTCTCTGGCGCGGCGTGGTCACCTCTGCTTTTGGACACCTGCTGCTTCTCGCTGATGCGGACGCGAGCCTGCAAACGAAACGCAGCGTCACGTGATCGGACTAGTCGTTCTATGTATATGCAAAACCATTATTATACGGAAGGCCGGTGAAAGTCGCGTCGTTCCTACGTATGCACATCTCGCACCTCGGCGTTGAGAAACGATAATGTTACGACCCTGGCGAGTTTCTATTTGCATTGTAAATAACTCGTGTGCGAACGAGCGCACGCCGTTAAAATCGAGCGCTAGCGAACGCGATAGAATGATCAAAATGGTATTCAGGACACAACGGTGGCTTCTAGTCGCTAAAATAGCTTCCTGACGAATTGATCGTAACGAGATTCGTGTAAATCGGTCGTTTGAAAAGATACTCCCGGTCAAAGTTGCAAAGTTGAGATCGTGAGGGGTTATCGAGCACGCGGCAGAGCTAGATAAAATTTGGCGCATTTGGAAGCGAATAGGTGGCAAACGCGTGGCAAAGGGCGCGCGCGCAAGAGAAAGAGAGGAAAACGTCGATAAGTACGTGCGGGAATAGGGTGGAAAAGGGCGGCAAAAGGTGAAAAAAGGGGAGAAAAGGGCGAGAAGAAAAAGCAGCGGCTCGATCGTTGACGAACGTCGCGAACGTCGCTCGCGTTCGTATGCAATCTAGTCCGAGCATAGGTGCCACAGCCCTCACAGAGCCTGGGCTCCTAGGAATCCAATCAATAAATATTACAATGGAACCCCTAGAGAAGTAGGGGCGCAGCGTATCCTCCTCTCGCCTCCACCTCCACCCCCTCCTCCAGCTGTACCGCGCCCCATCCTCGCGCCGTCATATTCCTCCTCCTGCTAGTCGCTAGTCGGAGGAAAAAGGATCTGTCCTACGTCGCGCTCTCGCAGTCGCCTCATTCCTCGCACACTCGCGCTCGCCTCGTCCTCGACTACATCCGCGAAACTTGGTCCCCCACCCGTCGTCCGGCCCACCCCCGCCTCCCGCCGCGTCAACCCCTACCGCCCGCGCTCCCTCCGCGCGTTCTCTCTGTCGTTCTCTATCTGCCTTTTTCTCATCCTCCCCGAGTCCGCCACCAGCCACCACCCGCCCCTTCACGGCCCTCCACCGAGCCCACCACCGTTTACATTTTACTTTTCTAGTAGCGAATTAAAACCGCGTTCATGCGCAGCCCGTGGAAGGGCGTAATGATTTTTTGAGGGGCGAATCGAGTGGGGTCGCCTACGGTGGTGCGCGGTTCGCGGTAGAGAAAGAGAGAGAGAGAGAGAGAGAGAGAGAGAGAAAGAGAGACAGAGAGGGGGTAATAGCTCTGGGTGCTACTACCGAGTTTAGCAGAAGCAGGACGGCGCGCGTGCCGCGGCAAGGATAAGCGCGAGCGAGCGAGCGAGCGAGCGAGTGAGTGAGTGAGCGAGCGCGTGCGTTTTTGCTTCGTTAATGTTAACGAATGAGGGGTACATAATTATCGGGGAAACGGCGGAGCGGATCTCGTTTATCGATCTCGCTTGAAACACAGAGTGACCATTTTACATTTCCATGCAGAACGGACTAAATCTATCCTGACAATTTTATATTCGGTTCCATCTCGAAATCACGCGCAAGGAGAGGCGGCAGCCCTCGTCTTATTCGTTCTCCCTCTTCCCTATCGGTAAATAGAAAACTTGTTTTCTATCGCTATCGCTATCGGATTCTTGTCCCCTGTCGGAAACTTGTTTTCAAATGTACATGGCGAGTAGAGGAGTATTTGAATGACGAATACCTCGAACTATTCGGACATAATGAAATCGGGCGTAGAACATCTTTCTCTCTCTCTCTCTCTCTTTCTTATCTTTAGAATATTTTAGAAAAAAATGCTCTGAATTCGGTAGCTTTCGGGTTCAAGCGTGTCGACATTTTTACGACACGAGTCGACTCGATTCGCAGCGGTTACGCGCATTTTCGTCTCATGAACTGATTACGGCGGGGTAGAGCGCCAGAGCGTCGGAGGAGAGAGTGTGGCGAGAGGGAAGAGACCAAGATTGCGGGTACACGGGGAGAGAAACAGCCGCCGCGGCCGCAAGCATCAACCTCCTCTCCCACCATGGCGTCCGTAGCCGGCTCTCTTTCTCGCTCGCTCGCGCGCCTTCGCTCTCACGCTCTTTCTCTCTCTCTCTGCGTACGCACTATTTTTTAGTCCGCACTTATTACGACAGATGTCTCATGCTCCGATAAAGAATAACGGCGGGCGAGCGAGAGCCTTCCCCCCGCATGCTAGTCCTAACCAGGCTCGGGAACAGCAGCCCGTACTTGGTGCTTCGTAGCGGCTCGTGATCTCTGCAACGCGCCGGTTTACGTTACGCGCGTCTCTTTTTTTCCTCCGACTTCTCGCTCCCTCCCCTCTCTCTCTCTCTCTCTCTCTCTCCCCCTCTCCCTCCTTCTCCTCTTCTCCTTTTCTACTATCTCTATCCTCTTCTCGCTTCGTCTCACTTTCAACCCCTTAAGCCTATCGTTGTTACAAATCGGCAGCTGCTCGCCGCATGATGCCGCGACGGTGATTATGTCCATCGTGTCCTCGAACTTGTCGATGTGAAGACTAAGCGACGAGTAGCTAGACGGAACTGTGCGCTCCTTGGACCGTTCGCGAAACGTGGCACTGGCACACGTGGTAGGTACGTTCATATCGTTCCGGACGTCCACCCGTGGATCCTTGTCGCGTTGCACGCAGTGCGCGGTGGGTACACATTTGTATTTCGCGGTCGCGTCGATATCAGAGCGGACGGCGGAAAAAGGTGATACGAAATTACAGGATATTTTCTCATCACCGTTCCCGTCTTCCCGTTCGTCTTTTCGCGAGTGTCGGGCTTCTTTGATAAAGTCCAGACGGTCGTCTGGAGACTCTCGACTCTTGCCGACGATCAGGACAGTGCAAATTGTGACGACGTGTGTGAGTAGCCGCTGTGCGTCCGCGTGTGAGCTGTGCACGAGAGATCGGTCCCACATCGCGTGCACGAGCGTACATGCCGGTGTGCTTGCGCGCACGCTGAATGTATCGCGTGCGCGAGCGAGCGAGAGAGAAAGAGAGAGGGTGGATGCATGCGTACGCACGTGTGCACGCTGTGCAACCACTACTGCGTAATGAGGGGGTGGATCTGCCCGGACGCGCGCGACATGAGAAAATCGCTTTCTCTCTCTCTCTCTCTCTCTCTCTCTCTCTTTCTTTCCTTATATATAACACACGCGCGCGCGTAAAATCCTCGCAGACACACAGAACACGAAAGAAACGAATGGTTTTCAGGCGTAACGACGATAACGAGGACACCGCCGGGATTCAGTCGATTGATACCGTGCGTCGTCGGTGAACGATGATATTTAACTACGAGTCGCGTGCCGCACAGTGACAGCCGGTGTGAAGAAAAGAAGCGAAAGACCGTCGGGGACAGGGGATACAAAAATCGAAGGATGGTGGTTTGAAATCAGCCGGACCGCATCGAGAAGACGACGCACGTGAGAGCGACTCTCTGACAGACGCCACAAGGTAATTGACCTACCTACTGAATTCGAGCACATCGCTTTAGAATCTGGTCTTGTTAGTTGCTTCAAGTTGTATCAGCAGCTCTACACAGAGATTGGAAGTGATCGTTTAAAGATTGCTCGTGCTTTCGTCTTTTCGTCGTACTTTCTCAATCAACAGGGGAAAGGCGCGGAGGGGGAGGGGAAGCGAGCGGGGATACACTACGCCATATCTTACATCAGGTTTTGTGCTAACAGCTCAAACGATCACATGGCATGATTTTTCTCCTTTTTGCACTGCTCCAAAATCTGAGAAAGACAGAGAAAGTGAGCGGGAGAGGCAAAGGTACAAATTTGACGTAAGATTGATCCTCATATTTATTCGTAATGAATATTTTGGAATTACTCTCTGATTGTTCATTTTGTCGCCCTGCTCACATTTTTTCACTTTATGTGTTATTTTCGTAACGAAGAGTCTTATCGGATAACAACCTTTCTCTTGGGAACTCACGTTTTATTCTTGTACAGTTTATGAAAGCAGTGCAGTTTTCACAGATTCAGATTTCAATGTTATAAACGCGCAAAAACGCGGACGATTAGAAAGCATCAATATTTCTTTTTTTCCCGTATCTAAAATATTGATTATTTACCTCATAAAAATTAAACCCGCACCAATCGTTGATACTTTACGTACTCGTACATTTTAGTGTGCATTCTTAGCCTTAGCCAGACCTTAGCGATTTACTAGGCAGTTGCAAGAACAGAGTATATTTGTCGCTTTATTTCACACGCATATATTCTCTCTCTCTCTTCTTCTCCTTCCTTTCTTCCTGCATCCATCCATATTATTTTGTGTCATTTAGCACACGTACACGCACACACATATTTGGCTTATCGCACGCGCGACGCCGCCGCTCGCAGAATCTGTCATTGGACACCCTTCGCGTTATTCTTCCTTTGCGTTCTTCCTCGCTACACCGCTCGTCTTCTAGTCGTACATTATCGATTAGACGTATAACAAGAGCCATAATAAAAAGCCCTCCCCTTTCTTCGAATCTTCTGTCTTTCGTCTTTCTCTCTCTCTCTCTCTCTCTCTCTCTCTCTCTCTCTCTCTCTCTCTCTCTCTCTC